AAACTGTGCCTTTTAAAATTATTTGAAAAATAATACATTATTACAAAATTAAGAGGCTGTGTTATCATGGACAAACATTTAATTTCAAGTTAAATTTATTATTTAGAGAAAACCCCATATTATATGCCATATTGTGATCTCCATATAAATCAAAACCAAACCCATTGCTGTCAAGTCGATTCTAACTCATTGTGAACCTGTAGAACAGAGTAGAACTGCCCCATAGGGTTTCCAAGGAATTGCTGGTGGATTCAAACTGCTGACCTTTTGGTTAGCAGCCGATCTCTGTATGGTTAAATGTAATCCTCAATAATATTTTAATTCAGAGATTTCACATTATAAATCATCTGCAGTAATAATATTTTCCTATATTTTACTCAGTAATACTTAGGCCTATTATTTCTTGTTTATTTGCACCAACCAGTGAAAGAAACCAATTTCTGTACCTTTTTTATTATGCTTTTGTACATACAAAAAGGATATCATCTTTTCTGTCTTTTAAATTTTTTTTAGAGTAAAATTTCCAGGGCTCACAAGTTCCTCTCATAGCTCATGTTTTCAAGATCTTTTTATCATTTGTATTATTCTCCACCAAATGCTTAGCAATCTGTCTCTTGTTTGAAATGTGGTGCTCTGCTGAACTTAGTTTCCAAATCACAGCCTAACAAGACCTGAATGTAGCTCAATCCATCTTTATGCATTACATCACCATTACAATTCAACACACTATAACATTTGAATATTTTTACAGGGATCAGAATGTCGATTCATTCCATTTATCATCCACTGTAATTCTTGATTTTTTTCTCTCTGCTGCTACCAAAACCGAAAAAAAACAAACCCGTTGCCATTAAGTTGATTCCGACTCATAGCGACTCTACAGGACAGAGAAGAACTTCCCTACAGGGTTTCCAAGGAGCGCCTGGTGGATTCAAACTGACGACCTTTTGGTTAGCAGCCATAGCTCTTAACTATTACGCCACCAGGGTCTACCATCTCTTGCTGTTTGTTGCACTTTTTGGTGCCATTAGCCTTTCCTGCGCCCACTTTCACATCCATTCCATTTTCCGGACTCTGATGCCGCTGATTCTACCCACCTCCCTAGTGTATCAAGACTGTGCTTCATTGTAGTATATCACCCCAAAGATTTACAACTCCTGCTACTCCCACGATTCATTATTCTTTAGATTTATTAGCATAGGTACACATCTCCCGAAAGTTTTTATAAGCATGTTGTAGTTGTTGTTAGGTGCCGTCGAGTTGTTTTCTACTCATAGAGATACCATACGACAAAGCAGAACTGCCCCATAGGGTTTTCTTGGCTGTAATCTTTTTGAAAGCACATCACCAGGTCTTTCTCCAGTGGAGCCACTGGGCGCGTTTGAATTGTCAACATTCTGGTTAGCAGTTGAGAATCTAACTGTACATTAACCCTTCTTGTTGTTGTTAGGTGCTGTTATTATTAAGATGATTTTTGCAAGTTATTCTTTTTAAAGTCCAGTTAAACAAAAACAAACTAAGCTAACTAATCTGTTGCTTCAGGTACATTGAAAAAGAAATCATGCCCTCACCTTCACTGCCCTCCCTTTCACTGATTCAATTTAAGAAAGTTAAACTCAGCACCAGCTACAGGATTCTATTACCATTTTACTATAAACATCCAAAAAACATAGATTAAACGTCTGATCTTCACACATAGTTAGTTCAGTGGGTAGCAAATGCCCTCGCTGTAGGAGGTCACTCCTATATGCTGAGACATGTCATTTGGTTGGTTGAGCAAATCTTAGTAAACACAGTTAGTTTCACTTAGCATGTTTACTTGCCCACTTACAAAAGTAAACAATGTAGGAGAATATAAAAATAATAAAGGAAATGACAAAAGAACCTTCAAGTATTTGGCCCAAATTTAATTATTTTACCATGAATAAATGGCAGAGTTATCAAAACTGACATGAACTGACATCTCATATATGAACCTTCATTTATAAGCGAATTACAGAAGTGATGGTTTTTCAGGTTCACAAGTTAAAAATCACTACACTTAGCAGACTATGTACACCAACCATGCGCCTTCCCTCTGCCTGGAATCACCACCCACATGCTTCATAACATTAAGAAACAACTCATCTTGCCTCCATCCCAGCTTTGTCCAGCTACCAAACTCCTGTTCACTCTCATAAGTCAGAATATGATTCCTCCAAAGAAGTAAGCTACCCTTCTTTATGTTTATATCCTGTCTTGTGCTTAGCTCTTTCTTGCTTCATAGTAAAATTATTTGTTTAATAGGGCTGTCTCTTCTATTAGTTTTGAGCTCCATCTTTTCTCTTAGCTTTCCCATCTGGTACTGAGAATTGCTCAATAAAAAACTTCAAAATAGCACTTTTATAATAACTATATATTTTTTAACGTAGGAAATGACTTTAGCCTTGAATGCTTTCTAAAGAAACCATTAAAGCAACGGTGCAAGCCCAATTTAATAAAATGGTTTAAGCATACATTAACATAAGCAAATTTATTAAAGGGTTAAAAAGCAACTATCTCTTGTAACCTGTCTATAAGCTTGAAATTATATCAAAACAAAAAATTGTAAAAATCTAAACAACCACTATCAGCTCTGAGAAAAGGCATGTATTGATTTTGGATAAGTATTGATTTTTTCATACCTAATAATATGTGGTTGAATTGAAGGAGGTGGAAAAAAAGTTCATTTAACATTTTCAGGTCAAATACAATCATTTTCAGAGACTTAGCAAAAAGCATGGTCATTAGGAGAAGTCTTAAAAACGAAGGTTTTTTAGTTCTAGAGAAGACGGATGATGCATTTAATCACTGTCATCAAGTATGTGATGGATCAATCGAGAGATGATAGTGATAAACTATTTTCCTTCTTAGCTTAGTACAAGACCAGAAATGATTAACTTAACTTAAAGGGCAAACAGGAAAACGCTACAGGACGTGAGATATTATGACAAATTACTAAATACTGCAGTGAAAGATTTCCCTCAGCGACCTTTAAAACAGTATAGTTACCCTTTGATCTGGAGCCATTTAGATACTAAATTTAAACATAAGTAACTCTTGACAAGACAAATACCAATTCATTCCATAGCAGATTACACTGAATGTGGTTTTCTATGTTCATCCAGAACAAGTCCCCGCCTCTATTGCCAATGGGGTTATCCTTGACACACATAGCCAGACAAACCCACTGTGGCTCTTAAAATAGCATCACCTGTGCAAATTGCCCCTTCTCTTGTCTTCCTTCCCATCTGATGTTAGTTATATACAGTGACCAACAACTGGAGAGGAGTGTATTTGTTGTCCAAAGTGTAAAAAGAAATGGAACATGAGAGTCCTTGCAAATACAATGACACCTTAAGAAGGTTAAAAAAACTGTAGTAAGAAGATAAATGATTTTATATTCTTTTCTGTTTAGTATTCCTTTCATTAATACTAACAATTGCCATTTAGTATATTTTTTCCCCAAAAGTAATTATATTAAGTAATTTTAACTATATATTATGTACTATTAAAATGCTGTGTTGTGAGATTTCTAGATAAGCTACAAGTTCAAGGTTACTGCCAAGGGGCCACTGAAAGAGTAAAGACCTCCTTTCATAACCTTTTGATTTTTTTAAAATATTAACATTTGTTATGCTACTTTGTTTATAACATATGCCAGTAATTGTTTTTGAAAAAAATAGCACAACCTTTATAAAGAGGCTTAAAGAGTGTGGCCTTAATTTATTTTTTTCTCATGGAATAATGGCAGAGCTATCAAAACTTGAAACAAGCTGGCATCTTATATTTGAAGAATAAGAGCGTAGATTAAGAAAGTTAGCCTAACACTTGATGAAATATTCCAAAGATAAGTATATTGTTGCTTTCATGTTGTCGTTTCTTAAGCTGTGAACCTAAAATAAAGTTTCACAGTGGTTTTTCTCGTCTTATTTTTCAGTAGTTGATAAATGGGCTGCATCTACTGAGAATCTGAAAGCCATGTTAAACCATATCAGAAATACAGTACTTGTTTTAACTTACCTGTTCCTGTTGCTGGAAATCCAGTCTGATATAAGTGTTGATGCCTGCTGGTGGCAGTGCTTATTGCCAAAACTGCATGCCAGCATTATAACTTCTCTGCGCAGTTCTCTAGATATCATTAAGAGGGAGGAAAACAAATGAAAAAGCTGTGTTAATATCCTAAGAGAAAGTCAGGGTAACTCATTAAATATACAGTTGGTGAGTAAATACTTAACATGAAAAATATTTTTTTAGATTCTGAAATTCTGTACTGCTGATTAAGAGACATTAGGCAGAGTGGACGTTACACATACTAAAAGTCTGCTCTGGAAACAGTACTGTGGTAAGCGGCATGGGTTCAGATCTCAACATCACTAGTTAAGGCAGATCGTAAATTAAACATGGCAAGGAAATGCCTTTGTTCTCAGTGTCAGGTGGTGGAAACTGTGCTACCCAGCAGCAGTCCTCTCAAGAAAGGGAAATGAAAAATGAAGAATGAAACCAAGATTTTCACATGCTGCTAAAGTCACAATGGTATTAGCATTATTTTATTGTACAGCTCTAGGGGAAAAGAAGAAAATAAGAAAATGAAACAGTACTCATGTTGGTAGGATGCTTGAACAAGGGATCCATTAAAATTATTTTTTGGCCATCCAAGCTTGATGTATGTTGTTGCAACTTGCTTTAAAATATATTCCTAAATGGGGGCAAGGGGATAAAAAGATAATGTCAGTTTTAAACCTCTCCATGCTGATAATGAAAATTCGAAAATAAAATATTTTCTAAATGTAGCTACTTATCAGTAAAATTATAAACATAGTAATTTCCCATTATGATTACTGAACTTAGTACTTCAAATATAGAACATATGGATCTAATACTATAGAAATGATAGAAATCTACTCTTTACTTCCTGTTGAATACCTCAGTAATTTACAATATTAAATATTTTAGATGACACTTTTTGTAGCAAAATGAGGAAACTGAGGAATGTTGATAATGACATTCATGCATACATGCATACGAATCTATATCAGGTATAGTCTATGAAAATGAGCATATACCATTTATATATTTTATGTGAAAAGAACATATTTAAAGCAAAACTAGGCCCAGCCAATAGCCTAGCATTGTTGAGCTGACATATACAGGATACTCTTCAGTATAATGATATGGTATTTCAGAGTCAACAATCCATTCAGCTTATGACATATTTAAATATTAGGAGCAATATAAGATGTGCTCTCCCTCGATTTAAGGCAGTCCTTGAATTTTGTCAAGCAAGTGAAAGCTCTGAAATTACAATAAAAGCACTTTTTAACTTTTACTGAAAATGAGGTGTCTGACATGATACACTATTCTAAACTAAAAAATATACAAAAATGTATTTTACTTTTACAGAAGTCTAGTATTGCAGTGTGTTCATGTTAGGGAAAAAAGAAAAGTGTAATAAGTCTTTCTCTAGTGGATAAAATTTATACCACAACTGAAATGACACATTTTTTTGCATGTCTGTTGCAAGGGTTTAGACAGAACTAACAGCAAAGAACAGTCAAGCCAAGACTGTTCCCCCCGCCTTTTTTTTTATTAAACTTATTAAAAGAGAGATGCTTTCATGTTAGTTTAGGATAAGAAAGAAAGAAGCAACTCTGATGGCTGTCAGACAATTTGATGGCTTTAATAACCAGATTTCATGTAACGGCAATCCAGTTTCCAAACGTGTAGGTTAATTAACAGAGCAGTCTGTCCTAAGAAATTTAGGGCAGGCTCTTAAAATAACTAAAGGAAAGCAAATAGTGAACAAAGATGACAGAAGGCACAGAAACATATTCTCATATGCAAAGCCTTGCTGCTGATGGGAAATTTAGAAATCAAAAGCTCATTAACATATTTAATCCTAATCTTATTCAAAATGATTATTAAATTAGATTAGTAGATGTCAGCAGTGCAATTTTGGTTTACTAGGCTCCAGGCTTAGGAAATCTGGTCAGGTAACATTTTGGAATGTTTGTCATGTCCTCATGTCTATTTGGATTATCTGTTGTTTGCTCTCCTGTATCCCCTTGGACCCAATTATGAATGGGCTTTTGCCTCAATGTTGATCTTATCCTTGTTAATTAAGGAAGTGAATTGAATTCACTATGCCCTTTTGGATAAAAATAATGACTAAGAATCTTTACTGAAACTGTCAATATTCTGGTAAGATCTTTGGGATCACTCTACCCAGGTTAAGTCCTTTGTGAACATAGAGCCCTTTAACTATTAGGAAGTAAGTTTGAACTTTAAAGATTTGCCATGTATATTTGTTCTTCAATATTTAAGCTTAATTGACACTTTGAGGCCAGAACAAAAGGTAGCTTGTATTAAATTTCTTCTTCAAGTAATTTTCATCAGTGCGAAACAGAAAAATCAGGACAAAAGTAATAACACAAATTAGAAGGAGGAGCTAAAATAATTTAGGATTAGTTGTATATAGTAAATAATAAAAAAAAAGTTTATCTTCTGAAAACAAGAAAGAAGAGAATATGTATTATTACATTGAAGATATTGTAGTTCTCCATGCGGTCCAGTAATTTATCCAGAGGATAAAGAGCTCGACTGGCAGCGTGCCAAGGAAGAAAATCCTTTTCGTCAGACAGATATCTGATAATCTCCAGGGGGATATTCTGAGGCAAATAGCCAGCTCTGCACAGTCAAAGAATTTAAGGTTAATTATATGCAGAAAAGATACATGATGAAGCAAAAATGAAGTTTTTTACCCACGCAAATAAAAGACAGGAAGCAAGATTCACCACAGTGTAGAGAAACACTCAGTGCTTAAAAAAATAAAATTACTCACTTTTTAAACATATTCCTACTTACAATGTCAATGCCCCTTAATATATACAGAGTTGGAGAGTTAAAAATTTACATGAACACAAAAACATTAGAATGCATACTTTTAAAAAAGAAAGAATTGTGGAATTTGAACAAAATCAATCCTTGCTATTTTCCTTCACAGGAAGTCTTCAGAGGTCACAAGTAATTGAAAATAATTGATTATTGACCTGGAATTTTCATTTCTCAATGTATTCTCTTTATTTTTTATGTAGCTCTCCGTAATGAAATCAATCAAATTAAAGCAGCAACTCACAGTTTTGACTCTGTTACCTTACAATATAAGCATTTTTCAAACCTGTTTTAAAAAAGATTGCTTTCCGTAACATCTATGAAAATCAGAGTTAGATTTGAAGAAAGTTCAAATAACAAAAATGTTAAAAGAATAAACTCTTTCCTTTTAGTATTTTCTTCAAATGAGATGCCATGTTACTTCGCGGACCAATGTCAGGTTTCATGGAAAATACAAAAATGTATACCTTTAAAATTATCTGAATATATACTGTCCATATTTAAAACAGCCAAAAAAAAAAAAAAAAAAAAGAGCCAGAATAAGGTGTTTATCTCTACTCTCCAGTAGATTGCATACAAAATCTTTGCAAAATCAAAGCAATATAAATGACAACAGTACGTTAAAAGGTGGTTTTAAGGTTTGATGTCCCCAATACATGTAGTGACACTATGTATTTTGCAGAATTTTTACCATTAGCAATCAATTTAATGCAGAATTTTAACACAAGGAACAGGGAAATAAGAAAACAACCAAAGCCTAGTTATCCCTCTTATCTGTACTTCACATTGTTGTCTTACACAGCATCACAAAACTAAACGGATCTATTTATTTGTACACTGTGGAAGGTGGACAAGGAGAGAGCAAGGTTTTTCTCATCTTCATTTGAAATAAGTCTGCCAGATTATTTAGTCCTTACTTGATGTGATAAGTAAAAACTATAGACAAATATTAACTGTGTTTATAATATTCATAATAAAAAAACAGTTCTGAAGATTGTGCTTCAGTTTTCTTTGAATTAAAAAAATGTCCCCCTAATGATTTTGGTTCACTCATAGTACAAGATCAACCACAGTAAATAAGAATGGTGAAGATAACCCCAAATTCTCATATAATTTCAAAATTTCCTAAAGTTTGTATGATTTATACTACAGCTAGATGTGTGCCACTTTGTACAGTTTCCATTATATACATCTTTGCAGAAATAGCATGAAATTTGACCATGGTAACAATTAAATAAATAACTTTATCTTTTTGCTAGAGTAGCATTTCAGCGATAGTTAAATTTTCCTTTCAAGGGTTCATTGTCAACTGAAAAAGGAGTATGTTTATTTTTACAGGAATAATGATTTGATTTTCTTTCTTAAAAGAAACATATCTTCTAATATTTTATATTTTTGTAATTTGTCTTCCTGAGCTTTTAATTCTAAATATTGATTAGCAGGTGGTCATAAACTTGCTTCCCTGAACACATGCAATGGATTATATAACATTAGAGTTGAAGAAGATTTATCTAGAAGCTATTACTCTTTTGCTGAAGAAATAAGAAAAATAATATTTATAAAAAAGATCTTTAGTAACTAGATAAATTCTTACGGATCTTCAAATCAGGTTAGAAAATCCAGAAAGTTTAGGTCTATTTTCCCATAGATTTAGTTATAATAGTATTACGTCAATTACAATATAGTAGGTTTTAGTTCGTTTCTATAATTGGATGGGCAATATTTAATGACTTATGCTCTGTGAGCAATATACCTGCAAATCAAAAAATGACTAATAATGTTATGGAAAGAGATGTGGACTCGAAAAGAGTGTGGACCTCCTTCTCCCACTTATACTCTGTACAATTAGGCAAACAAATTAATCTCTCCAGGCCTCACTTTCCTTATTGGTGAAATAAGAAAGTTGAATTAGTAGACATCCTTTATAGCCCCCAAAACCTTTTATTCTAACATATATCTACAATTTAATCTGCTGAGAAATCATTACAATAATATGGGTATAACTTATTTGTTTAAAAACCTGAAAAAATACTTTGTAATTTTATATTCCCCATTCTTCAATTGTTTAGTATATAAAAGTCTAAGAGGCAGGGCTTGAATCTAGGTTTTATAAGACATGTGGCATTGCACAAAACAAGCCTGATAGAAGTTGCAAATGGTAATAAGGTAAGTTAAGAAAAGAATTTCCTAAGTAGAGAAATGAAACAAGTTCTGTTTTGAGTCCTTTGGGCAGAAATCGCTAACTGCTACCAAAATCTATGCTCCCCTCTTCTTCCTAGCCTAGACTATGATTCCAGTTGGTTGCTCCAGTGGGCTCTGACACATGGGGACTCGTACAACAGGTTGAAACTTTGCCTAGACCCACACCTTCTTCACAATTGTTGGTATGCTTAAGTCCATTGTTGTAGCCCAACTTAGGAGACTCATCTTCTAGCACTATATTAGACAATATTCTGATATGATCCATAAGGTTTTCATTAGCTAATTTTAAGGAGATCACCAGGTCTTTCTTCCTTATCTTAGTCTGGAAGCTCCTCTAAAACCTGTGCTCCCTGGGTGGCCCTGCTGCTATTCGAAATGTTGGTGGCATAGCTTCCAGTATCATAGCAACATGCAAGCCACCAGGGTAGGACAAACTGACAGATGGGTGTCCCTTGTAGCTAGGTGCAGTCATATGTCTAAGATCTAGCCAGTAGAACATGAATGTGCCTTACTCCAAGGTTAGCCCATAGACATTTCCCATCAGCTCCTCTATATTCTTTTTCCCTGGAATGAATCTTCCAGGGTGACCTTGGAAGTCTTGTACTGAAGTCAGAGACTCCACAACCTGGGTTGCTGGTTGCATAGTCCAGGACCAGTTTGTACATTCAGTTTTGTTATGTGAGCAGGAAATACACTTCTATTGTGTTTGATCCGTATACATGTTTGGGTCTATTTTTTAAAGCAGTTAACCTTCCCTAATGCAGTTCTCAAATAGAATAAGAAAGAGATTACACTCAAATCGCCCTCATTCTGGTTTGCTACAAACGTATGTAAGTAATTTATCCAATACATAATTCAATATACATTTATTTAAGCCTACTAGATCAAACTACGTAGCTAATTGGACAAGGGGATGATCAGCTTCATTACAAAATTAAGAATTGTAAGAGATTATTTTAGTGAATAAGTTACCTAACTTAGATATATGTTTGTGTAATTGGCTGGTAATCAGATCTGCAATTACTATTACTGATAATGTAATCAATATAGGGGAAGTGTGAGGAATCCAGTGAATGGAACACTACGTTGGCTCAAAGTAATCAGCACAGTAGGGAGCACACTTAGGGGCTTGATGCTGAAATGCAGTTTCCCTAAATTTTTATCATCACAGGAAAATGCTGTTAACAAAATGGAAAAAAATCAGTGAATTTAAAGAATATTTCATGTACAATTAAATGTGTGTTATTAATATTTACAAAGAGGCTGTAGATGCTATCGTCTATCTTTTCTACTGTTGGGCAGGACAGGCACATGAAATGATTTATGAATCAAAGAAAAGACAATAAGTTACAGAAGCAAATGAGGAATGTTAAAGAAACAGAGGAAAGACTGCCAGATACAGCTATACATCTGCCCCTCCCAGCCTCCCTCACAGACATCCTTCTCTCTTCCTTCTCCAATTCACCAGAGCTTGCAAAGAAATATATCTTTAGGGGTTAAAAAAAAAAAAAAAAGGTATTTTTTTAAGAAGATTTAAATCAGACTATATTAGCTGATGTTGAAATACACTGATCTTATCAGCTTTGTTTTCACCTAAGATCCCAAACTGCTTTTTTAAAACCTTTCTGAAATCCTGTGAATGTTAACTCTTGAATCTACTGAAAAGGGTGGCTTATTAAACAAATATTTACTGTGAGTTTTCTTTAAAAGCAGTTGGTTCCTGGGTGCTTGAAACTCAGGGAGTAAAAACAAATCACAGTCCTCTGACCCTTCAGACAACCATACTCCAGTCTTCATTAATTTAGTATACATTTAAAAACCAACAGCCTACTACATATTTCACAATATACGCAGAAGACACTATCAGTTTCCCTTGGGGCATAGTTTTGTTTTTTTTAAGCATTTGTTGAAATGCTTAATTAAAAAGTTTACTAGGTTTTATCTGTTATTCTTTATTATTCATTATTAAAAGATATTTACATGACTCTGTGGGAAGATCCTATGGCATAGATTGGAAACCCACATAGTTCTCAGGGTACCCTAGAATAGCAAAGGATATACATGGGGGAAGGTATCACTGCCAACTACCCATTCATTTGGTCATTTTCTAAACAAAAAAGAATATGGTTCAGGAATTGCCAAACTGAAACGGGTTCCTGTCCCCATAAAATTGGGAGTGTGAATAGGTGCACAGTAAAGAGTTCACGCAGCTCCTCTTCTTTCTCCTCCCGTTCCTGTTCCTCCCGGTCCTCCTCTTCTGCTTCTTCTGTCTCCTCCAAAATCCTTTTACTGAGAGACTTATGCACCTCTTTTCTGGGCTCAGATAACACCTTGATAACACCTCTATTTATAGTACATAATATTAATCATAATTTTATCATAATGTTTCTCCCTCACTGGACTTAAGATCTTGAAGGAAATGAAGCATGCTTTACTCATCTTTTTATCCTCATAGCCTAACGCAGAACCTAGCACAAAACAGGCATTCAGTTCATGTTCTTTAAACTAAATTATGGCAATAACACCGTAACTCTTAAAAGAGGAGTACTTACCAAGTATATTAAAACTTAAAAATATCCATAATGTTAAACAAT